TGGGACTGGTTGATTATTTTAAACAATATAAATAATCTGTGTAACATTTTACGTGATATTTGAATGTCCACCATGCTATATTTATTATAAAAATAAAAATAAATTCTGTGTAAAAAAAAATGAAGTTATATTATTTTCGTGTGTTAGAAATTTTTATAGAAAACCCCTAGAAAATTCTGATACTATATAAGGCGGGATCACCACACACCCATTTATGGTATAATCCCAGACTGAAGACTCCATGTCAAGGTTTCTAAATAAGATCAGAAGTTTGATTCAACAAAACTCACAATCAGTATACTGTAATTTGTGTCAGTTGGCTTTTTATTTGATAATTTAGGTATAATTTTTATTATATTTAAATTATTCAGATACATGTATTAAATTTTAAGATTTTTAATATTAATAAATTATTTATATATTATATATATTATATGATATATTGATAATACATCACTTCAATTTGTCAATACTATTAAAAAATGAAACCATTGATTTGAAAAGGTAAGAGACAAACAATACTGCAATTATGTATGTATGATAACAATGATTATTAAAAATTACATTTATTTTTATTTAGTGTGCATATTTGACATTCAAATTTCAAAATGAAAAAAAAAAAAAATACAAAGTTATTATATAATATCATTACTCAAGACATTTAAACTATAGTAGTCAGATAAATAAAAATAAATGAATAATACATAGTAAGTGACAGGATTTAACTTATTCAAATAAGTCATCTGGTATAGCTAAATCAATTTGTTTAGAATCTACAAAATATTTATCACAAGAGTGGATATTAATAAATATTGTTAATTTAATAAAAATGAAAATAGTCAATGATTGAATATTAATAATTACCATTATTATTACCAATAATTGTTACTTTATTGGAATTCACAGGTTGGGGAAGGTTTGTAAAATTTAATAATCTGCTAGTATAAATTGCATTTGGATGAATTACTGTGGTAATTGTTGAAGGATCAAATTTTATTTCATCCATTTTCTCAAACTCTTTTTCAATTGATTTATATCCATAACCTGACCTATAATGTTGAAGTGAAGCATCCCAAAAATCAATAATATTAAAAATTTCTTTAGCAGTTGGACGTTTGTCTGGATTAGCATCCATGCATTTGAATGCTAGTTCAATATAAAATTTTGGTGCATTGTTTGAGAATCCAGGTCTTGCACCTTTACAGATATTCATTGCAAGATATTCATCATGTGCCAAATTATTAAATGGTTGTTGGCCAGTTGATATTACAGACATCAGAACTCCAAAACTATATACATCTGATGCTTTTGTATATGGTTTCTTTTTTAAAACTTCTGGTGCAATATATGGTAGTACTCCACATATATCATTTTTGTTTGATGATGATGTTTGACTAGATGTGCATGATAATCCTAAGTCTGCAATAGATGAATAACCATATTCTTGAAGAATATTACCACTATGAAGGTCATGATGAATAATTTCTTTTTCATGAATATTTTTTAAACCATTAATAATATAATAAAGAATTCTAACTTTGTCATTCCATTTTAAATTTTTAAAATCTTTAGTTAAATAATTTTGAAGATTTCCATCTACCATATAATTCATTACAAATATATATTCTTTTGTAATTGGATCTTGTGTTAATCCATAAATATGAATTATACCACTTTTATCATGAAACTTCATATAATTTTTGAACTAAAACAACAAATAAAATATTTAATTACAATGATAATAATCAATAATATTTAAAAAATCTGAAATAAATAGAAAAATAGAATAATCTACCTCATTAAAAAATTCATCTGAAATATTCTGTGAATTATGTAGTTTTTTTAATGCCACAGTCCTATCTTCAGTAGTTCTGGTAAATTTTCCATTTTCATAATTTTCGCTTTTATCACCATTTAACCAAGTAGCTTTGGATATAGTTGCAAACCCACCTTCACCTATCTTTTCAATATTTGTTAAATCATTATAAGGAATCCATTGAAGATGATAATAATTATTATATCTTGTTGCTTTAAATTGTGTATTTTTAATCAATTCATCTAATGTTTCATTGCCACTAGTCCATCCTTCAGTTAATAACTTTTGATCACATGATTGACACCATGCCTTATAAGTATTATATTTATTGCATGTTGGACATTCCCCATATTTTTCTTTTCTAATATATGGATTTTCATAATCTTGAAGACCTCCATCATCCATGTATTTCATTACAAAGATATATTCTTTTGTAGCTGGGTCTTCTGTTAATCCATAAATTTTATTTATAAATGATTCATCATGAAATGTAACATAATTTCTAAACTATATGAAAAAATATATTGAATTTCAGAATAATATTTAAAAACCTGAAATAAATAGAAAAATAAAATAATTTACCTCATTAAGAAACCCATCAGAAATATTCTGTGAATTATGTAGTTTTTTTAATGCCACAGTCCTATCTTTGATAATTCTTTCATCATTAACATAATTTATACTTTTATAACCATTTAACCAAGTAGCTTTGGATATAGTTGCAAAACCACCTTCACCAATCTT